AGAAAGAAAGAAAGAAAGAAAGAAAGAAAGAAAGAAAGAAAGAAAGAAAAAAGAATAAGAAAACTGGTGCAGGATTATAGATCCTCAGCACTTAAACACTTTCTATTGAAACATACTTAAAAACTTCAAACTGAAATACTGGGGACAATTCTCTCACATTTGTTTCTATCTGTCATTTAATTAATTAAAAATATTAATTAGGGGGCACCTGGGTGGCTCAGTCAGTTGGGCGGCAAACTACAGCTCAGGTCATGATCTTGTGAGTTAGAGTCCCGCATTGGGCTCTGTGCTGAGAGCTCAGAGCCTGGAGCCTGCTTCCTATTCTGTGTCTCCCTCTCTCTCTGCCACTTCCCTGCTTGCTTTATGTCTCTCTCTACCCCCCCCATAATAAACAATAAAAAAAATTAAAAATATTAATTACCCTCTACTGCATACCAAATGCTACTCCAGAAAATACAAAGGGAAAAGGCAAACAAAAAATATCTTTATCTTTGTGGAACTACTAGGTTAGTAAGTGATAGATACAACAAATTACCAGAAAAATAAATGCCAAAGTAAACAATGTACCCACAAATCTCCACAGAACCATTAATTATTATAGCTGAAGACTACAAACCCGAATGACTGACAGTGGTAGAATGGATGTATAGAACGATACAGAATAAGAAAAATAGAAAATCAACATAGCTTCCTGCAGCAACATAGATGTCTGAGGAAAGGAAGAAAATAGAAGAGAATATGTGCTGGATGATGTCCTGTGAATAAGTATCGCAAACATGCAAAACAAAATACGTGAAAAATTAAGATGGTGGATATGTTTGAGGTGAATGATGGAGAAAGGTCCAAAGGGTTTCTGAGGCACTCCCAACATTCTAATATTTAACCTGGGGAGAGGTACTAAATCACTGTGCATACACTTCTCTTTTGTATACTCTTGTTAATGTTTGTTATACTACATAATTAAACAAAATGTTTCAGTGCACATGAGAGGATACATCCTTGGCTGGGAAGTCTGTGAGCACTGCACTGAAGAAGTGATTTCTTAACAGATTTGATGAAGTTATGATTGTTGGTAGGCGACATTTGTATGAGCTACCCCATTATCTCAGCTTCTGTTAGTCTCCCCAACCTGAGTACCCACACTGGTTCTCTTGCCATTCCTTAACAAGCTAAGTATGCTTCTGCCTCAGGCTTGGTACAATTGCTTCCTCGGCCTGAAGTGTTCTTCCCCCAGATACACGTATGGATAACTCCTTCTTCTCTTTAAATTTTTGCTCAAATATTTTCTCCTTGAATGGACCTAACTTGATCACCCTATTTAGAATTGTATTCCACCCACCTAGCCCTGCTTTCCCCCCCATAGTCATTATTATGTTATACAACATGACCTATAACTACAATGTATTTATTTCTTATATTTATAATGTAATGTCCAATATTTAACATCTAATGTCTGAATTAGATCTGAGACTATCAAAAAACAGAAATTGTGTCTTTTTTGTTTATTGATGTATCACCACCCTAAAATACTATGTGGTACAAGATAAAGATTATATGTATGTATATGTAAAATATGTATTTATATGTAAAATATGTATTTTAATTAATTCTATGGAATTAGAATTAGAACCTAGAATTCTAGGTTAGATACTATGTGTTTTTCATTTATTCACTCATTGAAATCACACAAGAGTTCCTTGAGGCAAGTACTCTTAGTGATTAGAAAATTGAGGTTCAGAATTTAATTAGCATGTCCAATGTCACAGGCCTAATAAATGACAAAACCAACATTTGAATCCATTCAACTGGCTCCTGATCTAGGAGAAAAAGGTGAAATATTGCAGGCAGAGGAAAAGTATACATTATATAGCACAGAGACAACACTTAAATGTTTATGGAATGAACTAGGATAATGTGGGGGTGAAAAGAGCAAGTCACAGAAGACAACATATAGTAATATACCACTTAGAAAAAAGATTTAAAAATTTTTTTTTTCTTCAACGTTTTTATTTATTTTTGGGACAGAGAGAGACAGAGCATGAACGGGGGAGGGGCAGAGAGAGAGGGAGACACAGAATCGGAAACAGGCTCCAGGCTCTGAGCCATCAGCCCAGAGCCTGACGCGGGGCTTGAACTCACGGACCACGAGATGGTGACCTGGCTGAAGTCGGACGCTTTACCGACTGCGCCACCCAGGCGCCCCAGAAAAAAGATTTTAAAAAGTAACACCAAACATCTTTTTTGGAGGGGGAGAAACTATTAGAATACATCAAGGAAATGAAGAACAGAAGTCTTCTCTGTTTGGAGGCATAGGAACTAATTCAAAAGAGGTTTCAAGAAGGCAACATATATGGAAAATGTTCAATTTCTGAGTTGGATGTTCACAGGTATTCATTTTATTACGATGCTTCATCATTTAATAGACATTACATACACGGTTTATGTTTCAAATTCATGTGATAAATATAAATATACCTAAAAAGTCAAAACAAATAGAAAACAAATGACAGATTAAAGAAAGGTCAAAGATGAAGGATAATACCTTAGTCCATAGTTTTTATAAACACATAGAAACACAAACCAATTCTATACATATGGCTGTGAATATCTGTTTGTGTGTTTGGGTACTACAGAGCTTTTGTAAGTGTTTATTAGCAACATGTAGGTAGGGGGAGCAACAGGTAGAGAGGGCTTTCACTTTTTAGTCTTGCCAGTCAATGCCCCTCCACTACCTACATGGAAGCCACGTGATCTTTGTCATACCTGGATGATCTCCTGCCACTTCCTGTTCTAAATCATCTCACTGGCTTTCTAAAGTATTCAAAATAAAATCTAAATTTTCGTACTCTTACAACAATTACTGATCCATGTCTAGCCTTCTCCTTTGACTTATCTCCTATTCACTTTCACCCAATTTAGTCAATGACATTCTTTCCATTCCTGAGTTTGCCTGTCTCCTCTACCTTAAGGGCTTTGCATTAGATGTTCTCTCACCTGGAATTCTCTTCCCCTGCATTTCCTTCCTGTCATTCAGAATCTTGGTGTCAATATCATCCTCCAAAATAGTCTTTTTCCAGCACTTAATCCAAGTAGCCACCTGGAATTTCTGTATCAAATCACCATACTTGGCTCTCTACCAGCTTTTATAATCTGGTATTTTCTATTGGTTTATTTTTTAATAAGTTTTCTATCTTCCACAATTAGAATGAAAGCTGTAGATCACAGGGGAAGGTATTTGTCTTTTAACCACTGTGACTTGAGAGCTTAGAAGATTGTCCTGCCATTAAATACAGGACATTCAATATTTTTTAGTAAAAAAATAATATATATATATATATATATATATATATATATATATATACACACACACACACATACATACATATAGGGATTGCTATTTTACAAGTTTTCTGACATGGATAAGGCGTCCGTAGTCCCAAGATTTTACCTAAATATCAATGAGTAGTTTAGACTATGGAAGCTCACAGTTTATATGAAATACATTTATCATTTTTACTTGAAAAGATGATTTAAATAACTATTACTTTATGTAGGGTTGGATGGTCAGTTAATCAGAATTAGTATTATAGTCAGCATAAGGAAACAATGTAAAGTTTTTTTCTTTTGGAGGACTAGAATTGTGATATCAGAAATATAATAGTGAAGAAAAAATATGATACAGCTTTGAAATATATATCTGATATTCTATTCTGTAATAATGACACTAATAAGGGATAGCTGCTCCGATTTATTGAGTACTCACAATTTAAGTGTTTTGAATACATTACCTCAATCTTCCTAACAACGTAACAAATAAGTATTATTACCACCGCTTTATAGATGAAAAAACTGAGGGTCAGTGACATTAGTAACTTGTTTTTGGTCATGGATGATACATGCCAAGGCAAGACTTCTAACCATGGGCTACCACACAGCAAATTTATGGTTATTCTGTTAACCTGCATTGCTCTTTGACCTTAAAAGTATTGCTAAACATTACACAACTCTGTTGTAACATAATACGTGAAACTTTCAAGTTGGATTGTTTCATTAGTGACATTTGTCAAATGTCACAAGATGGTGGCTGATGAACTGAGTTATATGAAAAGCATGTAGGAACTAATCAAGCTAGATGGCACACAGGATCTAAGCAATGTCAATTTCAAAGTTGTGGAAAAGATTATTACAAAATGGGAGGTAAGGATTATTGGTGTGAAAGTAAAGGTGTGGAGAAGAGCCTCATGCTAGAAGCATCATCCACGTGTACCCCTAAAATTATGTGAGACTTCAGATTATTAAACGTTTATTTATTTATTTTGATAGAGACAGAGAGGGAGTGAGTGGGGGAGGGGCAGAGAGAGAGAGAGAGAGAGAGAGCTAGAGAGAGAGAGAATCCCAAGCAAGCTCCACACTGACAGCACGGATAGAGCCCAATGCAGTGGTTGATTTCACAAACCATGAGATCATGACCTGAGCCAAAATAAAGAGTTGGACGCTTAACCGACTGAGCCACCCAAGTGCCTGAAGACTTCAGATTTCTAATTGGCTGATGTATTTAGTAGTCCTACACTCAGAAATCTCAGCCCACCTAAATTGATACATCTGTTTCCCCCAATTTGCAACTTTGTAACCTCAGTAAGGTATAGAAATAAAAAAAAATTCAAACTGTTAATGATTGTATATTATATGTAGGGAGAGGCTTCACGATATTATGATAATTTGTGGTTATTAATTTAAGTGTTAATAGTTGGGTAGGTTTGACAGTTACACGTTACTTTTAAATGTTTAGTTACAAATGTTAGATTGATATTAAATATGTGGTTTTACTCATAAAAGAGAACTCCGTTTGAAGAAAGTATTTCTTTATGAAAATATTGTGCATTATCTTTCATTTATAAGTAAGAGTCATTCCAGTGCTACTTAGGTGTACATAATTATCCAATCTGACATATGAATCAGACATATTAAATTTGTAAATGATATTTAAAGGTCAATGATACTTAATTTTCTTTATTTTTTAATGTTTATTTCTTTTGAGAGAGAGGAAGAGAGAAAGCATAAGTGGGAGAGGGGCAGAAAGAGTGGGAGAGAGAATCCCAAGCAGGCTCTGTGCTGTTAGCACAGAGCCCAACATGGGGCTTAATCTCAGGAACCGTGAAATCATGAGCTGAGTTGAAATCAAGATTTGGACGCTTAACTGACTGAGCCACCCAGGCAGTCCAAGGATATTTAATTTTCTAAGCACAAAAATGGAATTGTTGGTAAATTTAATCTGTTAAGTTTACAAGACAATCAAGCATTAAACAAAAAACACCTAAAGTGATCTTTCTTATTTCATATAAAATTCCAAATTTACAAAAAAATTAAGATCCACAGGTTGAGCTGAAAGGGTTAAGAAAAACTACGTTCCTGATTTACAACTTTATCAATTTAAATTTAAGCCTTCTTTAGAAAAAAAAAAAATAGACAACCCTGAAAACATGATTGCTTTTCCCACTGGATCAGGAAATCTCCAAAATATTAGTCTGCTAGTCTGAACTCAAACTCACCCATGGCCCACATAATCTTGGCATTTATTTTATTTTTTTTATTTTTATCATTTTACTTAGTTAGGCTACATGCCCAGTGTGGGACTTGAACTCACAATCCTGTGATCAAGAGTTTCATGCTTTACTGACTGAGCCAGCAAAGCACCCCAATCCTGTCTTATTTGATTGGCTCATTTTAGCATCCTGGAGTTGCTGAAATTTCTATATAATAATCTTTGGACTCAAATTGTGGCATGGGAAAAATGTCAGTCAGGTTACTCAAAAGTTTACAGCTTCCCAGATGACAGTCAATGCAGCTGCTACCTGGAGTGCTGGACGGCCAAGGGCAACAGGTAGACCAGTTAAGCCAATGCTGCTGTTAATGTATCCTTCACAGCTTTGAACTGTATTCAACTTATCACCACATGATAAATACAATATGAATTAGGGCTGTTTTTACTAAATATACCACTTAATAAGTACATATTTTCAGTATGTGATAGAGAATTACTCTCCTGGTTAAAAGAGGTAATTCACTTAAGAATCATATATGTAAAATATCCCTTTCTTAGAATTTTGGGGAAAGTGCCAAATTCCTTTCCTCACCATCTATATTCATTCAACTAGGAATAATCTAAAATCATTAATTATCATGCAAACGGAGACCCTAAGTTTCATAATTTTATTGCAATGTGGCTTCTTAAATTTTTGTCATAATTGTTCTTGTGTGAGACACTAAAACAACACAACAGCAACAACAACAAACTGGATGTATTAAACACTTGGGATAGAAGATAGTTCTGATCGAGGACAGCAACGTGTAACAGAATATAGGTAAGAGAGATCTCATTTTAATTAACAAATGCTAGTTACCTGTGAGCCCGTGGAGTAGCGTCCAGGAGTTCGAGAACCAGATGTTTTCCCTGAGCCAATGGAACTCTCTGTACTTTTGCCACTACAACAATGCGTCCGCAGGCATTTCCCATACTCTTTTCGTACCTAGCCAATTAAACATTAACTTCTGTTAGCAAGTAATTCATTTCAGCTGGGAACTGTGGTATAAAATGTATGTTTTATTTTTAGATAATTAATATAATTATTTCCTTGCCCTTTCAGATACAAGAAAGTCTGTTCAGCATATATTTTCCAATATAAAATGATACTCAAGTCATCAAGCTTGAAATTTTGCATAACTGGAGCCTTTTAAAACATGCACTCATGCACACGCACATGCCCAATCATGCCATAATGATACTACCTCTTAGTTCGAAGAATAAAAATGTAAGACTTTTTACGACCTTATTTTTAGCTTCATAAATTTGATTTGAAGTAGCCTATTGGTGCAATTGTTCTTTAAAGAGAAACTGAATGAAAAAGCTACAGAGAGAAGAGGGGAGGGACAGAGGGAGAGAGGAAAGGAATGCCTAAACACAGGAGAAAGGAATTTCCTTGTTTCTTTCATTTCTCTTAAAAGAGGTCAAATTTATAAACTTTAGAATATAAAATTCAAAATAATTTAAATTTATGCCCTCATAATAGTTCTCCAGAATAATTACAGTTTGCTCTTCTTTATTAAATTCTTAATCCTGCTTGTAGTATAAAATCATAGGAAAAACAGGAGATAAACATATTTTAGTGGATGTTTTTCAGCAGGAAGACCTATCAACAGTTTCTGGGAAAACTTTTATCATGCTTAAAGTTTTTATTACTGCCTATTTAATTAAACAAGACATACAAAAATAAAACAGTAACTGCCCTAAATCATCCTTCCACTATCTACAACAAAAATACTCCCTTACTCTGTGTTCATCAACTAAAAACACATTCTGGGACATTTTATTGGTTCTACATTCCAAATTTGTGTTCATTATGAAATAATGCTGTATATATAGTTATTCTTAGCTCTTTATCTATTGAATTCACATGAGTTCATCCGTTCCATAATTTATGACAATGTCATATTCCAAGTAATTTTATTTAAAGCGATGTTATACACTTTTCTAAGGGATGTTATTTAGAAGCAAAAGCAAAAAAAAAAAAAAAAAAAAAAAAAAAAAAAAAAAAGGAATGTGGATCATACATTAATATTAGCATTCAAAACTGAAACATTACATCTTAATATTGGAAAGCTCCTTCTATGAAAGATATAGCAGAATCAGAGATAGAATAGATTCAGAATTGTTTGAAGAATTCACATTTATTAAATGTTTATTCTGTGACCAGAACAACAATATGGAGACAGGTGAATCAAAGCATGGAGGAGAAGTGCCTGCTGACAGTAGGTCGGAGCCCCAAGGAAGACTTCTCAGAGAAGAGGACTTTTGAGAGAACCTTCAAAAGACAAGTTGGAATCTGTCAGGTTGGACGAGGTTGAAAGAAAGGACAGACAAGAGAGACAAAGGCATTCCAGGTGTTGTGAACAGTGTGAGCAACTTTGAGGACTTTCTCTGACCTGGGATGCCAACATTACATTCTTTAATACACTTGAAATTATATTGATATGTTTTTCAATCTCTTCTATGCTACATTTATGATTAATTAGAAATGATTCGTTTTATTCAGTGTTTAAAAGCCAATTCATATTTTGTTACTTTTTAAAAGAAATGTCTGTACCCACTTGTGTGTGTATCCAAGATATATGTGAACTGGGGAGTATGGAATGAAGAAGCTTCTAAATTTTTTAAAATTTTATTTTAGAGAGAGACAGAGAGAGAGAGAGAGAGTGCATCAGTGGGGCAGAGGGGCAGAGAGAGAGAGGGAGGTATGGAGAGAGAGAGAGAGAGAGAGAGAGAGAGAGAGAGAGAATCTTAAGCAGGCTCCACACTCAGTGCAGAATCACACATGGGGCTTGATCCCATGTCCATGGGATCATGACCTGAGCTGAAATCAAGAGTTGGAGCACCCAGGTGCCCCAATAAGCTTCTGATTTTTAATTGCTATTTACTAGAAATTGTGCTAGGTCCTGCCCTCAAAATGACTCTCGGGAATAATTATTACCTACATTGAACAGATAAGAGCACTGAAAAAGTTAAGCAATGAAAATAAACTGAAAGACTGAAAAGATTAAGCAATATGTGCCTTATGTGAAAAAATCCACTTCTCATAGGTGCTTTACGATCAGAAAGTTCCTTCTAAGAGGCCACATTTCTAATATTAGTATATTAACATTATTATTAAAGTAATCCATTAAATTATCCCTTTCTCTGTATCTAGAAAAAATAAGGGCAGATGCTTTAGTTAGAATTTGAGAAACTTAAAATAATCTCCACCCAAAGGTAAGCACTATCAATTATAGTTTAATATGAGTCCTGAGTTAATAAAGTATCTCCAAGAACTTAAATTTTGATCATAACCTACATCCCACTTTGTTTTTCCTAAAGTACTCAACAAGGATATTTTTCTTTTTAGAAAAGAAAGTGTTTTTTAATGAAGTGATTTAAATCTAAACAAATATTTTAGGAGATAGAGATAGAGAAAGAAAGAGAGAAAGGAACCACTCCCTTTCCTGGTACAAAAGCAGCAATAGTGTATAAGCCGTAGGAAATCATCATGAACTATTTATATTTTTCAACAAAGGTTATATGTTCTGAACTGATTATATAAATAACCAGCAAATCAAGATATCTAGTGATGTCAAGTTCCATATTCAGGTAGAATACTTACTGAATCTTTACTGACTTGACTTTATTTTTCTGCTATTAGATTTGAAACACTAAGCATGTGTTTTAAAAAGAGAAAAAATAAAATAACATGGGCTGTTTCTATGACAGATTTTCCTTTGGAATAAAATAAAAATTATTTGATTGTTCGATCATATCCATATTCTAATCCACTAATTCACATGATATTACTCTTATTCCAATCAATATATCTTATTTTACTAATATTGTTCTAGGATAAAGAAGATGGGAAAGAAACTATATCTTACCAATACACTCTCAGATCAGAAATAATGTAATATGATACCCTCTGAGATTTATCACATAATTGAGTGTATAACAAAAGAAAAAGTAACAACTTTAATGTCTCCAGTATTACTGGTATCAGTAATATCATGCAATCCACACTCAGAATAGGACTGATAACTCAAAGTTTGATTTTTGTTAATGAGTTGAATCAATCAACAAATAACCCTATAAGCCAAAATATTTCAACAATGGAATATTTCATATTTCTCTAATCAAAGCATATGACAACTACATCAGTATGGGTATATTATTGAATTCAATCAAATGGCTTAAGAGAAACTTCTTAAGAGAATTAAGATTGTTAAAATGTCCATACTGCCCAAAGACCTCTATAGATTCAATGCAATCTCTTCAAATTCCAATGTTTTTTTTCACAGATACAGATAAAAACAATTCTAAAATGTGTACAGAACCACACACACACACACACACACACACACACACACACACACTCACACACACTCACACACACAGAAAGTAATTCTGAGAAAGAACATAGCTGGAGGCATCACACTTCTTGCCTTCAAACTATATTACAAAGCTACAGTAATCAATACAGTATGGTGTTGGTATAAGCCAAGAGACCAGAATTAGCCCTAAAATAAATGCTTCCATTTACTGTCAACTAATATTTTACAATGAAGCCAAGAATATTTGGTGGGGAAAAAGACAAACTCTCCAATATATAGTTTAGGGAAAACTAAACATGCAGAAGAATGAAACTGGGCCCTATCTTACACCACTCACAAATTTAACTCAAGGTAAATTAAGGACTTAAACATATGACCTGTAACCATAAAATTCCTAAAAGAAAATAGAAAAGTTCCTGGAAATTGGTGCTGGCAATGATTTCTTGGACATGACATCAAAAGAACAAGCAACGGAGCAAAAATAAGTGGGACTACATCAAACTAAAAAGCTTCTGCATAGCAAAAAAAAAAAAAAAAAAAAAAAAAAAAAAAATCAACAAAATGAAAGGGCACTCTACAGAAAAGAGGAAAATATTTGCAAATCCTATTTCTCTAAGGGGTTCAAATCCAAAATATATCAAGAACTTTTAACACACAATGGCAAAACACCAAACAATCTAATTAAAAATGAACAGAAGAGGAGCACTTGGGTGGCTCAGTCAGTTAAACCTTGACTCTTGATTTCAGCTCAGGTGATCCTTTCATGGTGAGATCGAGCCCTACATCGGTCTCCACACTGACAGTGCAGAGCCTGCGTGGGATTCTCCCTCTCTCTCTGAATCCCCCCTGCTCTCTCTCTCTCTCAATAAATATAAAACATTTAAAAAAATGAAGAGAGTAATGAATAGACATTTTTCTTAAGAAGACATACAAATGACCCACATGAAAAGATGCTCAACAGCACTGCTCAAGGAAATGCAAATCAAAACCACAATGAGATATCACTTCACACCTGTTAGAATGGCTATCATCAAGAAGACAAGAGAAAAAGAAAAGAAGACAAGAGATAGTAAGTATTGGTGAGGATGTGGACAGAAGAGAGTCCCTGTGCACTGTTGGTGGGATTGTAAATTGGTACAGCCATTATGGGAAACAGTATGCAGTTTCCTTATAAAATTAAAAACAGAACCAGCAATCGATGCAGAAAAAGCATTCGACAAAATTCAGCATCCTTTCTTAATAGAAACCCTCGAGAAAGTTGGGATAGAAGGAACATACTTAAACATCATAAAAGCCATTTATGAAAAGCCCACAGCTAACATCATCCTCAATGGGGAAAAACTGAGAGCTTTTTCCCTGAGATCAGGAACACGACAGGGATGCCCACTCTCACCGCTGTTGTTTAACATAGTGTTGGAAGTTCTAGCATCAGCAATCAGACAACAAAAGGAAATCAAAGGCATCAAAATTGGCAAAGATGAAGTTAAGCTTTCACTTTTGGCAGATGACATGGTATTATACATGGAAAATCCGATAGACTCCACCAAAAGTCTGCTAGAACTGATACATGAATTCAGCAAAGTTGCAGGATACAAAATCAATGTACAGAAATCAGTTGCATTCTTATACACTAACAATGAAGCAACAGAAAGACAAATAAAGAAACTGATCCCATTCACAATTGCACCAAGAAGC